TGAAGCCTGTAGAAAAACATACATGTTGTGTGAATCTATTTATATAGTTTTAGGATGGTGATGTTTCATATTTCCATAGCAATATAATGAGTTTGCCAAGCCTCAGTGAACACATAAGTCCTATGCACTTCATTGTATGCTAATATCAAGTAAAAAATTAAGCCAACAATAAACTCTAGTTAATGATACGCAATTTAAAATGCATCCAAAATAATATGAACTGATGAATGAGTATGTGACAGAGCAAGTACAGGTAATGCTAATTAGCATCTAGTGAGTACACTATCAAATTATTTTAACTTTTTTATATATTTGAAAATTTTCATTAGCAAAATTTTGGGTAAAAATATAGGGTGCAATGTTTACCAAATAATGTTGCTGAGAATTTCATTATTGATCTTATGACAGTATAATCATCAAATTCTTCTAAGTGTCCATTGAGAAATAAATTTCTCTTAAAGGCTTCTGAAAGAATATTCCTAAGTGTCATGTGAGCAATCAGTTCTCAAAACCTACTCTGGTTTATAATTGTCAAAGTGATATTTTGATCCTCTCACACCTTTACAAATATAGTATATATATTTTGATGATATACTCTGAGCAAATTTTTGGCCATAAAGATAACATAGAGTTAAGATGAGAAAACATTCCTAAAAGAAAAAAAATCAAACATAGATTTTTTATTTACCCTAACTTCCAGACTAAAAAAGAATCTGGAACTGTAATAGAAAAGATTTGAGGCTTGGTCACAGTGCATGGGCCACTGTGTTCTGAGTGGAAAGGCATTCAATCATCTCTCATTTCTCCCCAAAGACAGACGCGTTTGGACACCCTAAAGACATGGTATTCAGCTTGGAAAGACTTCTAAGGTGCCTCCTGGAGATTCACTGGGAACTGGCTTGAGTTCAGTAGCCCTTTTGTCAGAGTTTTCTACATGCCTAAGTTAAAATCCCTAATACCACTGCTCCTGATAACTGGCAGTTGGTAACTATTTTCAGTTAAGAATTACTATAAAATTACATATAGGAATTACATACATAGCCTCATAAAGTTCTTTAACAAAATAATCTTTAGTCGCAGTTCTGGCTGTCTTTTGATCTCTAAGTTCTTCATGTTCTAGTACAGGTTCTGCTTTTTCCTGAAGTACAGGGACTAGTGTTTATTCTCAAGCTTTCATGTTTGCTTGAAAATTCTGCAGTGATGTTGAGTCATATTAAGTGCCATACCCATGAACCTCTTTCAGTCTTAAAGACTGCGCTGTATTTATGCCAGCTCACAGAGTGTCCTTAGTTCTATGCTCCTATTACAGGATCAGTCATCACCGCCTGAGTTTACCTAGAGACTGCTCCTGTCTAATCATAACAGCACTAATTGTGGTCTTGTCATGCTTTGTTCTTTTTGCCTCAATATTGGGATACTTTATAAATAACAGATTTATGCTCTTGTTTCTACTGGTTGGTGCTCACTCACTGATACCCATTCCTAGTATGACTTCCTTTTACTTGTGTCTATTAATGGGGTTATGTCACACCCTATCAATCTCAAAACAGATGATACTCATCCTTTGTTTTCCATCTTGCTGGTCTATTATCTTCCCATAAAAACAGCTAATTTATCAGATTTCAAAGTCTTGTTATTTACTGATAAGCTTACCAATTCTATCTTTTGTATCTTCAGTGTGTAATTCTGAACATACATTCTGATATGCCAGTAAACTGAAGGGGTGGTGGAGCTAAGGTGGGGTGAACATAAGTAATGTGCCATTTCCTCACCATCCCGTGCTTGTCATGTGGGACAACAGAAAGAATAAAGAATACTCTATTTTCTATCTGAAAAAATAGTTATAGCAATGATACCTTCCATTCTATTTCTTGATATTTTGGTTTCAACACTTCTTTATATCATATTTTATTCTTGAAATTGGTATTATTTCACTATTTTACAGCCCCAGATAAATTCAGATTTCTTTTTAACTAAGATCATAGTAAACGGCAAAGCCAGATTTTTGAGGCCAAGCATTTAAGCTCCAAACACTTTCCATTATATTCATTCCAGTTCTTGTTTTGTATGTTCTTTTCTCTATAAGTCTTGCCATTATTTATGCTTCTTAGCTAGACCTAGACTTTTCAGTAGCATGTAGGGAAGTCAAATAATGTCACATGTTAAGTTTTGACTACATTTTACCTCATCAGGATTTTTGTTGCTGTATATACCAGCAGAGTGTATTTTCTACTCCCAACTAAAGCTTTTCATTTTTAGGACTGAAAGTTAACAATAAGTCTACTAATCAGGTTAACTGTTATGTTCAGCCATGTTTTTAATGCCAGAGAATTTTTCCTTTGGGGACTTAAGCAAAGATATCCTAATCATACAGATCTCACTACTGATGATAATATACTTACTGGTGTTTGTTTCTGCCTGTACCATTCCCTATAGGCTGAAGATGTAAAGGACATTAGCAACCACAGTATGTTTAGTTTTTAGTAGCAACAGTAATTTACTATGGCCTTGTGTACTTTGGGTAGGATATGAGAAAGGGAGGAGTATATAATAATGCCCAATCTCTATTGGCAAGTACCTTACAATGTAATAGAGAATACTAAATTATTTCTTCGAATGCAGACCACATAGTGAGATAGATTCAGCTAACTTCATAATCACATTGGTAATAATGTGTTTAGATCAGAGAATACAGTTTACTCATCACTAGCAGTAAGGTAACTTAACTGTTATGCTCATACTATGGACTATGATACTAATAATAATACCACTCCATATGTCAACTAATAAGATAATGAAATAACAAACACATTAAGACTAGCTAACACTGGGAGCAGTAGCCAATGTAAATTTCTATAAAGTGAGAAGTATCCAATATTCTACCTAGCAATGAAGCCTAGACCTGCCATCAGTATCCCAGCTGGCAGGCTGAACAGTTTCATCATCACCAATAAGTCACTCTAAAAAGTCACCAACAATGAGGACTGGGAACAAAGCCAATTTGACCTAAAATGAAGTTATCATTTTTGCATCATAACGCTGCTGAGTTAGGTATGTGTGAAGAACAGATGCCAAAAGTGCCATTATGTATTAAGCTTACACAGGAGCAAACAAGAAGACAAAAGAAAAATAACAAAAACAAATTCCTCAAACCAAAAAAACAACCACCGCCACCAAAAAACAAACAAAAAAACAAAATAAAACAGCCCTGCCAACACTTCAATAATTCCCTGAGATGGGCTAAAGGAATGTGGGAGGTTGTGACATAAGCCAATTAGAAATGAGTGGTTCTTTCAAAGTTTTATTTGCAGGCCAATGTTAATTTATGACATAGAAACAGCCTGTGATTTCAAACACACTGCAGTCACTTCTTTCACATGTTCACTTTACATGAACTCCCTATGGGAAAAAGTCACATTAGGGCATTACTAGATTTCATTCATAACTCTGTGTATGTACAGATACACATATGAAAGCAGCAGCAAATGTACAGATGAAGAGCAACGATATTCATTATGTTAAAATCCTATTTGGCCTCACGTGAAACACTCAATTTACAAATAATATTTATGGATCTTGCCTTATTTTACTCTTTTTGTAGGCGGGATAGCTTAAGGTATATAAAAATTAACTCGTTTGGCAATTATAACTCCATGAGTTGATGGTGGAATTACTATAAACCAGTTCCTTTCTAGCAAAGTCTTAATAAAAATATTCTAACTACTCTGAAATTCAGTAGAAGAAACAGATATTGAGTATTGATATTTAGTTACCGAGTATAACTAAATATCTAGAGTAGTGTCTAAGTATCTAAAATACCAAATCACTTCTTGTGAATAAATTCACTTGTAAGTCAGTTCTAACTTTAAAAAATAAGTATGTTTAAAACATACTTCAGACTGCAATATAACAGGGATTATTACTAATGCCTACAATACAGCATTCATATTTAGGAGGACTGGGTATCTGTTATGCATGAGCAAGACTGGGAATAGGAAAAGAGAAGATTCCTTCCCTCAGAAAAGCTTAGTGGGTACAGACATAAACTGTAGAATGTGACTAGCACCATTGTGAAGACTGAAATGAATAGTCACAAAAGTTCATATTCATGGCAGTAAAGCCCCAAAGGAGTGAGAGGATTATTAAGTATAGAAAGAACTTCCTGGATGTTCTCAGAAGCAGCAGCCACATAAGACGAGAGGGAGCAGTTGAACTTTGCCCTAGATTTCCTGGCACATTTGACTAGAAAAAAGGCCGCACCATTAACCTAAACTGTTTCAGGAGGGAAAGGTCATAAATATGGTAAATCTTTAATCCAGGTTGAAATATCAAGTAGGCAATTAAAAAGAAGTACAAGTCTAGATTTCTGGACCAGATATGTAATCCAGAACATTGGTATAAAATAACAACCATAAGGATGAGATACCTAGAAAAGAGCCCAAAAGCATTCTGAGGACAGGATGTGAGAGAGCACATGTTCAGCAGGCACATCTTAAATAAGGGTTATGTGACTACACTCACAGTTGTTTCAGAGGATAGCATCTTCAAGGAAGGAAACACTGTCTAGGAAGGTTGCTCAATGGTATAAATGTTGCAGAGAGAAAAGGGTAAGGGATTCAGAGAGAGAAAAACACCATTCAGTTTGGTAACTGGGAGCCCATTGTTGACTTTCAAAAGAACAGTTTCATTAGAGTGCTGTGTAAAACCAGACTGTGAGGTGCTGTGTAGTGAGTCGTGAAGATGTAGGGGCACTGGATGTGGATTCTCCAAGAAGTCCATCAGTGAAGAAGGCTGGAAAAACTAACAGGGTAAGAGGGAGTTGTTTTTTTGCATTGAAGGTTACTTCAACATGTTTGTAGACCATACTTTTGTAATGACTACAAGCCTAAAAAATAATTTTTAATCTTTTAAAAAGCCTTTTCTGAAATAAAAATACACAAAATTTAAATTATATTTGCATTTTACCATTTGAACTTAATACAAACTTAAAAGCACTAGCATTTCATGATAAATTTTATTTCTAAAGGAGTCATACAGTTCTGTTATTGGACTACTTCAGAATTTATTTTGCTTTTAGACTATAATGAGAAACTAAATTTTATTAACAATTGCTATTTTAGTTCCAGAAAGATTACTTTGTTATAAAGGATTACACTGAAGTAATTATGTATGCCTTCTTCCTCAGCCCTCCTCCCCTAAAGACAAAGTATTTTCAGGGTAGTTAATAATTTTGAGAATATTTTTCAAGTTGAAGAAGAGAAACTTATTCCATTATTAATAAGTTCTTAAAGATCTAAATTGTTCTTCACAATAATTTTTCATGATAAAACATGCTTATTTATTATATATACATGCTTACATATGAATTTCCTGTCTAAAATACATGCAACCACCATGAAAAAACAAATACTAAACCATCCTCACAGTCCTAAGAATGCCCTTTTAAATAAGGCACTCATGTTTGGAAATAGGATGTAACTACTAAATTAAATAAGATGTTTAAAGAAGTCTTTTATTAAGCACAAACAACTTTTAATACATTATCAATACAAATAAGAAAAGGTCTTTCAATGACTATGATATATCAAAGATCTGAAAGGTTTTCTTCATATTGACACAATAAAAATAATCAATTCTGAAGAATTACAAAGTAAATTTTTGAGGACACCACTGTCTACTAATAAGAGTTTACTGTCTAAATTTACTAAATCACCAGTGGAGGAAGGGCAATCTTTTTTTTTTTTTTTTTAAATAGAGATAACTCCTACTCTTATTAGCACCATTCAAAGCTTATTATCAGTTGTTCATCTACAAACTGACAGGTCAAATAAAGCTTTAAAGCAAGTTTTCAGTGCAATGTTTATAGTTCCTTCTTTTAAGATACTTAGAGTTTATAGCCTTGAAGCATGTTAAATAATTATGCCTTAGTAGTAGCAAGGTGTTAACATGTAGAGAGAAATGTCATGAAAAGAAATGAGGCTTATTCTGGCTGTGAAATGCATCTTAATGTGTTGTGGCTAATGCTATATATTACGTTGACAACATGCGGGATTACGAACTGCAAATCTGTAGGTAGCTGGTGTCTATTAGCTCTCTGTGGTCACCATTTCAGGATGTCTCAGCTGCTGCCTTTTGAGACTAACTAGTTTCATCCTGTCTCTGATGTGTTCTGCAGTAGAAGCCATGTCACTTGGACTCCCAAAATATTGTTCGGTTCTAAAAATCAAAACACACAGAGAAACCTCAGATTAATACAAATCCATTAACTGCAGTGAATACAAATAGAAGCAAAAATTTACCATAAAAAATCTACATGAGGTAGCCTATGTGTAAATATCAGTTCATCTGTGATCATACTGTTTATCTTTGAGCAGGAAATTCAGCAGGAAAAAACAATTTTTTTAATCGCATAAAATACATATATTAGTGGTTTAAAAGTTGTATCATGTGTACTTATGATAATAGCAACAAACTGAACAATGAAACATTGTAAATATGTGGGTCCTGAAGCATATACAAACATAAAATCTGTACATGTACTTAAGTGCTACTGGCTGGGGACACCACTTTTCTATACAGCTGGCAAGCAAAATATTCTTCTTATGTTATGGCATTGTTTTCATACATTAACAGATAAAATCATTAATTTTATTCTAATCACAAATACTGTATTCAGATTCACAGTATTTTTAGAGCTGGAAGATTTCTTTATATATATATATACATATATATATATACACACACACACATATATTATTGCACTTTAGGTTCTGGGGTACATGTGAAGAACATGCAGGATTGTTGCATAGGTACATACATGGCAATGTGGTTTACTGACTCCATCCCCATCACATATATCTGGCATTTCAACCTATGTTATCCCTCCCCAACCTCCCTACCCCGCTGTCCCTCCCCTATTCCCCACCAACAGACCTCAGTGTGTGATGCTCCCCTCCCTGTGTCCATGTGTTCTCATGGACCCTGCCTATGAGTGAGAATATGCGGTGTTCGATTTTTCTGTTCTTGTGTCAGTTTGCTGAGAATGATGGTTTCTAGGTTCATCCATGTCCCTACAAAGGACACAAACTCATCGTTTTTTTTGGCTGCATAGTATTCCATGATGTATATATGCCACAATTTCCCTGTCTAGTCCATCATTGAAGAGCATTTGGGTTGGTTCCTGGTGTTTGCTATTGTAAACAGTGACGCAATGAACATACATGTGCATGCGTCTTTATAAAAGAATGATTTATAATCCTTTGGATATATACCCCATAATGGGATTGCTGGGTCAAATGGAATTTCTATTTCTAGGTCCTTGAGGAATCACCACACTGCCTTCCACAATGTTTAAGCTAATTTATACTCCCACCAATAGTGTAAAAGTGTTCCTATTTCTCCACATCCTCTCCAGCATCTGTTGTCTCCAGATATTGTAATGATCGCCATTCTAAATGGCATGAGATGGTATCCCAATGTGGTTTTGATTTGCATTTCTCTAATGATCAGTGATGATGAGCATTTTTCATGTGTTTGTTGGCCTCATATATATCTTCTTTTGAAAAGAGTCTGTTCATATCCTTCACCCACTTTTGAATGGGTTTGTTTTTTTTTCTTGTAAATCTGTTTTAGTTCTTTGTAGATTCTGGATATTAGCCATTTGTCAGATGGGTAGATTGCAAAAATTTTTTCCCATTCTGTTGGTTGCCAGTACCCTCTAATGATTGTTTCTTTTGCAATGCAGAAACTCTGGAGGTTAATTAAATCCCATTTGTCTAAGTTGGTTTTTGTTGCCAATGCTTTTGGTGTTTTAGTCATGAAGTCCTCGCCTATACCTATGCCCCTGAATGGTTTTGCCTAGGTTTTCTTCTAGGGATTTTATGGTATTAGGTCTTAGGTTTATGTCTTTAATATATCTGGAGTTAATTTTAGTGTAAGGTATCAGGAAGGGGTCTAGTTTCTGCTTTGTGCACATGGCTAGCCAGTTTTCCCAACACCATTTATTAAACAGGGAATGCTTTCCCCATTGCTTGTTTTTGTCAGGTTTGTCAAAGAGCAGATGTTTGTAAATGTGTGGCATTTCCTCTGAGGCCTCTGTTCTGTTGCACTGGTCTATATCTCTGTTTTGGTATCAGTACAATGCTGTTTTGATTACTGTAGCCTTGTAGTATAGTTTCAAGTCAGGTAGCGTGATGCCTTCAGCTTTGTTCTTTTTGCTTAAAATTGACTTGGCTATGTGGGCTCTCTTTGGTTCCATATGAAGTTGAAGTTGTTTTTTTCCAGTTCTGTGAAGAGGGTCATAGGTAGCTTGATTGGGATAGCAATGAATCTGTAAATTACTCTCGGCAGTATGGCCATTTTCACAATATTGATTCTTCCTAACCATGAGCATGGAATGCTTTTCCATTTGTGTCCGCTCTTACTTCCTCGAGCAGTGGTTTATAGTTCTCCTTGAAGAGGTTCTTTACATCCTGTTGTATTCCTAGGTACTTTATTCTCTTTGTAGCAATTGCGAATGGCAGTTCATTCTTGATTTGGCTTTCTTTAATTCTGTTATTGGTGTATAGGAATGCTTCTGATTTCTGCACATTGATTTTGTATCCTGAGACTCTGCTGAATTTGCTAAGCGTTTCCGGAGATTTGGGGCTGAGATGATAGGGTCTTTTAAATATACAATCATGTTGTCTGCAAATAGAGACAATTTGACTTCCTCCTTTCCTATTTGAATACGCTTTATTTCTTTTTCTTGCCTGATTGCTCTGGCTAGAACTTCCAATACTATATTGAATAGGAGTGGTAAGAGAGGGCATCCTTGTCTAGTGCCAGATTTCAGAGGGAATGCTTCCAGTTTTTGCCCATTCACTATGATATTGGCTGTTGGTTTGTTGTAAATAGCTTTTATGATTTTCAGATATGTTCTATCGATACCTAGTTTATTGAGAATTTTTAGCATAAAGGGCTGTTGAATTCTGTTGAAGGCCTTCTCTGCATCTATTGAAATAATCATGTGGTTTTTGTCTTTGGTTCTGTTTGTGTGGTGGATTACATTTATAGACTTGCGTATGTTGAACCAGCCTTGCATCCCTGGGATGAAGCTTGCCTGATCGTGATGAATAAGCTTTTTGATGTGCTGTTGCAATCAGTTTGCCAGTATTTTATTGAAGATTTTTGCTTCTGTTCATCATGGATATTGGCCTGGTTTTCTTTTCTCGTTGAGTCTCTGGTGGGTTTTGGTATTAGGATGATGTTGGTCTCATACAATGATCTGGGAAGGATTCCCTCTTTTTGGATTGTTTGGAATAGTTTCAGAAAGAGTGGTACGAGCTGCTCTTTGTGTGTTTGGTAGAATTCAGCTGCGAACCCATCTGGACCTGGGCTGGTTTTGGTTGGTAGGCTATTAATTGCTGCCTCAACTTCAGCCCTTGTTATTGGTCTCTTCAGGGTTTTGACTTCTTCCTGGTTTAGGCTTGCAAGGGTGCAAGTGTCCAGGAATTTATCCATTTCTTTCAGGTTTACTGGTTTATGTGCATAGAGTTGTTTGTAGTGACCTCTGATGGCAGTTTGTATTTCTGTGGAAAGGGCAGTGATATCCCTTTATCACTTTTCATTGCATCTATTTGCTTCTTCTCTCTTTTCTTTTTTTTAATCTGGCTGTGTTCTGTCTGTTTTGTTGATCTTTTCAAAAAACCATCTCCTGGATTTATTGATTTTTTGAAGGGATTTTTGTGCCTCTATCTCCTTCAGTTCTGTTCTAATCTTAATTATTTCTTGTCTTCTGCTAGCTTTTGAGTTTTTTGATCTTGTCCTCTAGCTCTTTTAATTTTGATGATAGGGTGTGAGTTTTAGATATTTTCTTGCTTCTCATGTGGGCATTTATTGCTATAAATTTCTCTCTGGACACTGCTTTAAATGTGTCCCAGAGATTCTGATACATTGTGTCTTCATTCTCATTGGGTTTGAGGAACATCTTTATTTCTGCCCTAATTTCATCGTTTATCCAGTCAACATTCAAGAGCCAGTTGTTCAGTTTCCATGAAGTTGTGTGGTTCTGAGTTAGATTCTGAATCCTGAGTTCAAATTTGATTACACTGTGGTCTGAGAGACTGTTTGTTATGATTTCCATTCTCTTGAATTTGCTGAGGAGTGACTTACTGCCAATTATGTGGTCAATTTAGAGTACGTGTGATGTGGTGCTGAGAAGAATATATATTCTGTGGATTTGGGGTGGAGAGTTCTGTCAATGTCTATTAGGTTTGCTTGGTCCTGATCTGCGTTCAAGTCCTGGATATCCTTGTTAATTTTCTATCTCATTGATCTAATATTGACAGTGGAGTGTTAAAGTCTCCCACAATTATTGTGTAAGAGTCTAAGTCTCTTTGTTGGTCATTAAGAACTTGCTTTATAGGCCGGGCGTGGTGGCTCACGCCTGTAATCCCAACACTTTGCCAGGCTGAGGTGGGCGGATCACAAGGTCAAGAGATCGAGACCATCGTGGCCAACATGGTGAAACCCTGTCTCTTCTAAAAATACAAAAATTGGCTGGGCCTGGTGGCGTGCACCTGTAGTCCCAGCTACTCAGGAGGCTGAGGTAGGAGAATTGCTTGAACCCGGGAAGCAGAGGTTGCAGTGAGCCGAGAACATGCCGCTGCACTCCAGCCTGGTGCCTGGCGACAAAGGGAGAACCCATTTTATTTTTATCAAGTTCCCCCTTTTTTTTTTTTTTTTTTTTAATCTGGGTGCTCCTATATTCGATGCATATATATTTAGGATCGTTAGCTCTTCTTGTTGCAATCATCCTTTTACCATTATATAATGCCCTTTTTTGTCTCTTTTGATCTTTGCTGGTTTAAAGTCTATTTTATCAGAGACTTAACCATTGCAATGCCTACTTTTTTTTACTTTCCAATTGCTTGGTAAATCTTCCTCCATCCCTTTATTTTAAGCCTATGTGTATCCTTACATGTGAGATGGGTTTCCTGGATACAGCACACCGATGGGTTTTGACTTTTTATCTAATTTGCCAGTCTGTGTCTTTTGATTGGGGCATTTAGCTCATTTACATTTAAGGTTAATACTCTTATTTGTGAATTTGATCCTGCCATTTTGATGCTAGCTGGTTGTTTTGCCTATTAGTGGATGCAGTTTCTTAATTGTGTCAATGCTCATTACCATTTGGTACATTTTTGGAGTGGCTGGTACTGGTTGTTCCTTTCTATCTTTAGTGCTTCTTTCAGGAGCTCTTGTAAGGCAGGCCTAGTGGTGATGAAATCTCTGAGCAATTGCTTGTTCATAAAGGATTTTATTTCTCCTTCACTTATGAAGCTTAGTTTAGCTGGTTATGAAATTCTGGGTTGAAAGTTCTTTTCTTTAAGGATGTTGACTATTGGCCCCCATTCTATTCTGGCTTGCAGGGTTTCTGCTGAGAGATCTGCTGTGAGTCTGATGGGCTTCCCTTTGTGGGTAACCTGACCTTTCTCTCTGGCTGCCCTTAGCAATTTTCTTCATTTCAACCCTGGTGAATCTGATGATTATATGTGCCTTGGGGTTGCTCTTCTTGAGGAATACTTGTGTTGTTCTCTGTATTTCCTGGACTTGAATATTTGCATGCCTTCCTAGGTTGGGGAAGTTCTCCTGGATAGTATCCTAAAGAGTATTTTCCAGCTTGGATTCATTCTCTCCGTCACATTCGGGTACACCTATAAATGCATATAGTTCTTTTCACATAATCCTGTATTTCTTGGAGTCTTTGTTCATTCCTTTTTACCCTTTTTTCTCTATTCTTGCCTTCTCATTTTATTTCATTGAGTTGATCTTCAATCTCTGATATCCTTTCTTCTGCTTGGTCGATTCGACTATTGAAACTTGTGTATGCTTCGTGAAGTTCTTGTGTTATGTTTTTCAGCTCCATCAATTCACTTATATTTTTCTCTAAGCTGTTTATTCTCATTAGCATTTCATCAAAACTTTTTTCAAGGTTCTTAGTTTCTTTGCATTGGGTTAGAACATGTTCTTTTAGCTCGCAGAAGTTTATTATTCCCCACTTTCTGCAGTCTGTGTTAATTCATCACACTCATTCTCCATCCAGCCTTGTTCCCTTGCTGATGAGGAGTTATGATCCCTTGGAGGAGGATAGGCATTCTGGTTTTGGGTGTTATCATCCTTTCTTGCTGGTTTCTTTCCATCTTTGTGGATTTATCTACCTGTGGTCTTTGTAGTTGGTGACTTTCAGATGGAGTCTCTGTGTGGACATCCTTTTTGTTGATGATGAAGTTATTTCTTTCTGTTTTTCAGTTTTCCTTCTAACAGGCCCCTCTGCTGTAGGACTGCTGAGGTCCACTCCAGGCCCTGCTTGCCTGGAGATCACCTGCAATGGCTGTACAACAGTAAGGGTTGCTGCCAGCTTCTTCTTCTGTTATCTTTGTCCCAGAAGGATACCCGCCAGATGTCAGCCTAAGCTTTCCTTTATGAGGTGTCTCTTTGGATATACAAGGTTAGGGAGCTGCTTGAGGAGACAGTCTATCCCTTATAGGAGCTCAAGTGTGGAGCTGTGAGCTCCGTCGTTCCATTCAGAGCTGCTGGGCAGGTACGTTTAAGTCTGTTGCAGTGGAACTCATAACCACCTTTTTTTCCCAGGTGCTCTGCCCTAGGAAGGTGGGGCTTTATTTATAAGTTCCTGATGTGCTGCTGCCTTTTTCAGAGATGTCCTGCCCAGCAAGGAAGTAGCTAGTCACAGTCTGCCAGCAGAGGAGTTGATGAGCTGCCATGGGCTCTGGCCAGCTGCCATGTGAACTTTAGAAATTCCAGGTTAATCTCTTTATTTTTTTAGATCAAAATGTAGAGCCTAGGAAGTTAAATGATGTAAGCAAGGTCACACAGGGAAAAACCAGAATTTGACGCTAGGTCTTCGCGCAGTGAATCCAGAGAGATCATCAATCTCTCTTATTTTACCAGGAGATGGTATAAAAGACAAATCTGTATAACCTGCCAAACAAACTTTACATGACACAGATTACCATCATATTAGCAATTACGGAGAACATTATACACAACTTTGCATAATATTTAATTTAGCAAAATATCTAAAAGAGATATATATAAATTTTAATATGAATATAAAATGGAATAAAATGGCAATTCCAAAATATTAAAGGTGGGTATTTGTGAACTTTGAATATACAGTACTATCATTCTTTTATCTTAAAAAGATGAGGAAAGACCCATGGGCTGTTTTTGAAAAACAGACGAGAAGCTAAGGCAAGCATACCAGGGCGAGGTGCTCCTATGCTGACCTGGGTAGAAGAGGAGACTGTGTGACAACTGGCTGTGAAATGTCGGAATCATGGAGGGTAAGGGATCCTGAAATGGAACTATAAGAATCACGCCTATAATTTTGTTACTAGTTGAATTTTGTCTCTTTTATTGGAGATGTATAATACGACTTTAGGTGACTCTACAGTCACTACTTAAACAATCAGCTACTTCTGATTGTTTAAGTTTAGACATGGCTTGAGATTACATAAATACAGACTATGAATAATATTCTTTCAAGGGAATAAAATGCCATCTTTTCAATATCAATCCCAAATAATCACTGCAAGATCATGGCACAGTAGTAGCAGCGCTTATTATGAGTCAGATCTGTTTTAAGTACTGTATATTTATTTAGCTCAGGTAATTCCCCCACCCCCATAACCTGAGGGGGTATGAGTGTTACATCGCTGTTTTTAGATGAGGGAGTTGAGGCACAAAGAGGTTAAGTGGCTTGCCCAAGGTGTTATAGTGAGTACGTGGTGGAGCTGAGAGCACTGGCTCCAGAGTCCACAGATGCACTCATCACACTATACCACAATGTTAAGGATACTTATATTTTTACTTAGTGGTTTGGTTATGCTATCATTTGAATTAAATATCCTCTGGATTATCTCTAAATTATTTTTGCTAAGAATCAGGTTTAAATCACCAAGGATAAAGCGCCTTCTGATTTTTTTCCTGGTCCATTTATTTTGCATCAGATTATTTCACACTTTTATAATTAACTATTATTTGACATGGAAAGATGTAAGAAAATCAGGACCCCATCCCTTCACACATAAAGAAGTTAGAATGCCATATAGCTGAGTGCAAAGAGAATGGGTCTGGAGCCAGACAGACCTGAGACTGTATCCTTACTCTATCACTTAGAAGCTGTGAAATCCTGAGAGCCTTACTTAATCTCCCTGGGCCTCAGTTTCTTCATTTGTAAATCAGGAATAATCTTACTGGTCTGGTCCTCTTTGGTCAAAAGTAATGAAGGTGAAGTGTTTCACTTGGTACTTGGCGTATATTATGAACTCACTAAACATTAGTCCCTTGTCCCCTCTTCCTTTTCCTGAATGAAGCCCCAAGTCACACTACTCCCTACCATTATAGCCAAGTCTAGAACCCAATGTCTTAATCTAGTCAATGATCATTCTACAACAAGCTGTCAAGAAGCAACACATTTGATGTCAGCAAGTACCATCACTGTGGCTAAGAGCTGTGTGGATTTCTTTTCATTTTAAACTAATTTATTGTAGGAGTTAAAGATGTGGACCAAACCTAATTTACTTAGCTTTTTAAAGAACAGATTTCCTCTTTTAATGATTTCACTTTAAGACCACACCAATAAAAAATAAAATTATAAGAACATGCTCCATACCCATCAGGATAAACTACAGGAACAGTTAATCTATCCAAAAGTGATTTCCCAACTGCTTCAATTTCATCAAATTGCTCCTCATCATTAATAGCTTCAGGCTCTTCTGGACAGTCCTGCAAAATCTGTAACAAACAAAAAAGCAGTATCAATCAAGAGATACAGAAAGGTCTGTAGTTTCAGAGAATCTGAAGGAAAAAAAAAAAAAGACACAGAAATGGAATCAAGCTCACATAAAGGCATTTTTTGTTTTTAACATCTTCAAGTACACGATATAAGATTGATCTATTATTGCTAAATGCTCAAGAAATTCAAACAACAAAATGAAATAACATAATTCCTACTAACAATATGGTGATTTCCAAGAAAGAAAATGCTAGACTACTATTTGAAAAATAAGTTCACTTTATGTTTATTTAGCAGCCTGGAAGGTGAAGGAGGTATAGACTCTGTTCTCAAAGAACATAAAGACATTGCAAATGAAAAACTATTATAAATAAAAAACAACAAAGTACAAACATGTAACTGATGTGATGACTTAGCTGGATAATATTTAACAACTGAACTGCTGGCTTGAGTTAACTGATGTAAATGATTAGGTTATAATTCAGATATGAGAATCTCTATAATCCTTGATGAGATACTGTTCTTTATTTTCACCTTAACCATTATCAATTAAATTAAACTACAAGGAAGAGCTGCTAAATTTGAGAGAGAAGAAAAAGAAGTATTATTCATTATCAAAACCTTTTTTTGCATTACACTTTATGTCAACCAATCATGTTTACTTTAGCATTACTCAGGAACAGACAATTTTGTATTTTAAAACTCAAGATTTAGATATTTTTCTAATCATCATACAGTTTGTTTACAGTTGTGGTTATTTATATTTATGCTTTATTTTGTTTATGCTTGATTTACTTATCTTTGTACAACCTAATTAAATCAAATTTAAATCAAATTTATTATAACCAAAGTTTTAGGTAACAGAAAAAAATGGAAACAAAGTTCTGTTAAAAAACCCTCTCAATTTTATTCGTTCTAATATCACTCATCAAAAGGTAGTTAAAAGTAGTGTTCTAGGAGACAGATCCAAGATGGCCAATTAGGAGCAGCTCAGGATTGGAGCTCCCAGGGAAAGAGTGGACGGTGAGTGGACGCCGCATTTCCAGATGGATTTTTATTGCCCACAGACCAGGAGATTGCCAGGTGGGGGAGCCCCAAGAGTCGCCAGCATGGCTGGTCTCTGCACAAAATACATGGGTCAAGGAGCCATTTTAGCTGGGGATTGGAGCTCCCTGGAGACAGAGTCACCCATCAAACTGATAAAAGGGGGACTGAAACAGGGAGCCAGGCCAGGAGATTCCTGGGCAAAAAAGTACCACGAATCTCAGTGTGGCTGTTTCAGCTGGCACAGTGGGTCGCCACATGGGAAATCACACAGATCCCAGCACCTTTTCAACAGGCAACTGGAACACCTGGGAGTCACCCATTCAACTGAAAA